CAGGACTATAATTATTAAAAAAATTATATTATAAAATAGGTTTGGAGGTCCTTATATTTGTCAATAATAAAATTGAGTCAATAATACCCTTTCCGCTAAATGTAATGGACGGCGTTAACTTTTTAAACATGTAGCATGTTGAGGCATCCTTTTATTTGCAGGTTGCTTCAACATACCACATGTTTAAAATGTTAATGTCGTCCATTGCATTTAACGGAAAGGGTATTATTGACTCAATTTTGTTAAATTAGGGACCAAATTGATCACTTTCAAAATTAGAGGACCCAATTAAAACGAACCCACAAATATAGGGACCTCCGAACCTGTTAAACCATCTCTTTTTTATATGTTTGATCAGGATTATCCTTTGAACAATTTAAAATAAAAAATTTCTATGTATGGTATAATTATTATTTAATTTTTAAGCCAATAATAACATAATGAAGAGTAAATAATAATAAAATCTCTCCCGAAATTTCTCAAATGCAATAATAACAGACTTTGTCATTCTGAGATTATCTGTCAAGTGTGAGAAAAATTATTATACATATTTGTATATTAAAATTAAAACTGTTTAGAGGTTGACAGTAATGTGACTAGATAATTAATATGAAAATCAAAACATTCCATTTTTTTTATTTTTTTGAGCTAAAAAAAGTACAAAAGTACAAATTATGAAATGTTTTTAAGAAGGTTATTTTAGTATAAAAGAATGTGATATATTGTTTTGTGTGTTATGTTTTGGTTGCATAGTCATATTCTTTTAAAAGAGGAAGAAAATGGTAAGATAATTAGTCTTATATATTGACTACAGACATCCTTGAAGTCATACCTATATTCTATTAGACTCACAAATTCAGAGGACAAGGTTTAGGTGGTGAAGAATGAAAGAGGTTTCTATAGTTGATTTTAAGGTCAATGACCTCTTTTCTTTTAAGCTATAGAAAGCTTATCCTGTCACAAGGAGGGGAAAAACAAATTTTGTTACTAGTCGGTAACACTTGAGGTTTTGGGAAACCAAGTTCTATTATTGGTTTGTAACACTTGAGATTTAAGGATTTAAATTTTTTGGTGACACGTGCAAGACTTTTGGAGTCTAAGACAATGCATAAATTTGGTAATTGAGTCTAAAATTTAACATTTATACATCAATTAATCTTGCCACATAATGAATAACTAGACAGGTTATTCACTATTGGCTAAGGTGGATATTACGCTGTTAGCATTTTTAATGTCATCAACAAAAAGGACCAAATTGAACCATTTTTATAAAACATGGGACTACTTTGAACAACTGAAAAATAGGGGGACTACTTTGAACAACTGAAAAATAGGAGGATCACTTTGAACACAACTAATAAAACTAGGGACCAAAATTGATATTAAGCCATAAGTACGAGATAAAGAAAATTTTATATCCAATTGATTTGGAATACCAAAAGGTACATGCATGCCTAATGATGGTGTATTATGCAGAGACAAGTATGCTTCATTGAATGTGTGACCAATATGTGGTTTATCGCAATTTGAAAAGAAAAAGTTGATGGAAATAATGGTGATGAAGACAACGATGATCCACCTACTAAGGTGGTGTGGTACTTGCCTATACTACCTAGGTTGAAACGATTTTTTTTCGTTAAAGAAGATTCAAAGAGCTTTAAAATGACATGTTGATGGAAGGAAGTGCGATAATTTTTTTGACACCCAAGTGATTCCCCATAATGGAAGAATATTGGTGAAACATTTCCATAATCTGGTGTAGAGTCAAGAAACTTAAGACATGCATTCACTATATTAGATGGTATGAATCTTTATGGGAACTTAAGTAATAAACATAGTTTATGGCCAATTTTGTTAATGTTTACAATTCATCTCCTTTGTTGTGCATGAAGAAAAATATATGATGTTGTCTATGATGATAATTGTCCTAGACAACCTGGAAATGACATTGATGTGTACCTAAAATCGTTAATAAATTATTTGAAAATGTTGTGGGAAGAGGGTGTTGAGGTCTTCAATTCATATTTTTGAAAAAACTTTTCGTTTGCATGCAATATTGTTTTTGCACCATAAATGATTTCCTAGCATAGCATATGAAAACTTGAGTGATTACAATGTTAAAGGCCATTTTGGAAGTCTCATTTATGAAAATAATATCAGTTATCTTCAATCGAAGCATGTTCAAAAAATTGTGTATACAAGACATCGAAAATTTCTTACCATTTTCGTAGATTGTAAAAAACATTTAATGGAAGTTCTGAGCATGATGTTGTGTTGAGACCCTGCAATTATGAAGAATTATACAACCAGGTAAAAAACATTGATGTTGTGTTCGAGAAACATCAGAAGAAGACTATTGAAAAAACATTGTAAACTTCAAGTATGTTGAAAATAATATATGTGATAGTGTCATCGAGACTTTGCTAAATGTAAAAGTAAAAACAAAATATGGAGTAAACCATGACAAGGTTTGGTTAGCATGAGCATCCGTGAGTTACATCCATAATCAATTGGAAGGCAATCCTACATTCCCTTCAGACTCTTTGTAAAAAAGAAAAAAAAAACAATTTTTTTGTAAGTGTTTAAGTAGTGTGAAGGTTCCACAAGATTACTCTTCAAATGTTACTAACCTTGTTTTTATGCAAGATTTAAAGTTGGTTGGTTTAAAGTCTAATGATTGTCATGTCTTGATACAACAAAGTTAACCAGTAGCTATTCGAGCTATATTATATGCTTTTGTTAGTGGTATTCTCACACGTTTGAGTATGTTTTTTTTTTTTGTTTGTAAAAAAGTTGTTAATCCTCGATTGTTAGATGATTTGTAAAATGAGACCATCAGATTATTGTGTCAATTGAAAATGTATTTTTCTCCCTCATTTTTTGATATCATAGATCATTTGATAGTTCATGTAGTGAAAAAAATTCAAATATGTGTGTTAGTTTTCTTAAAGTGAATGTACCCAATTGAGAAATATATAAAAATCTAAAAAGATTGAATTATAGAGTGATATATTACAAAAAGAAGCCATTGAATTCTTTTTAAGTTTTCAAATTGTGAACCTAAGATAAATGTGAAAGTAATGGTATTCGAAGAGTCAAAACGTCAGTAAAAAAGAAATTGATCAAACCTACGTCTTAAACAAATCATACGATTTCCTATATTTTGTAACATATTAATAAAGTCTGTACTTTCTAGAAGTTTATTGAAGCTAGTTTAAGGAGCGAACACGTGATCACATACTATTATAAACAATTATTGTTTATATTCATTAGAAATGACAAAAATAAAATTAGATGGAGAGGACAAAAAATAAAATTCAAAGATTAACTACAACCTGAAAATGTACATTTTCCCTGTTATAAAGACAAAAATTCAATTAAAGTTTCGTGTAAAAACATAAACGTGCCACCGTGCCACCACATCAACGAACGAGAACACCTCCACTGCGAACGTACCACCGTTCAAGTGCCGTCGTGCCTGCGTCATGTCCCACGCACCAGATCGCGCTAGCGAAGACGCAGATTACCACCGACGAAGCTGTCGCGTCTCACAGCTCCACATGTACGCCACCACTGATGCGCGAAAGACCCTTCGCTGGATTGATGAAGGAGTCACGCTTCCGCCATCAAAAGAAAGGAGAAAATTCGAGCAAGATAAAATGGAGCAGCAAGTTTGAAAATTTTCAAAGCAACAAAACTCTAAAACTTAATCTCAAATATAACAAATGTTCTTATATCCATCCATAGGTGGTACATTATGTTCTTAAAAATAGATTAATAACAGATGAATAATTAAACTTTTTTTAATTCATTGAGCAATCTCCAATATCTAGAAGTATATCTTTAAATTGTAAAACACTTTGTATTTTGATTTTTTCCAGAATGAATAGAAAATAAATAAGAATAAATAAAATGGGAACCATAATCATATAACTTCTGTTAATTTGGATTCTGATTCAATTAAAATATTATTTATAGTTTTTATATAATTAATCTTTTATAATATATATTTCTTTAAATATAGATTTATCTTAATTAAATCAATTTAATAAATTAAGTAATAAAATAGAACGGTTTTAAACATTTTATTATTATTTATTATTATATATATATATATATATATATATATATATATAACATATATTTCATGTGAAAACATAAAAATAATTTCGCAAGTACAAAAACATATGTAATTCTATACATGTGTATTTATAATTTTTATTATATTAAAATGATACAACATAAAAATAAACGTGATTTTGTAGAAATGATATCAAAATAATTATAAAAATTTTAAAAATATATAATTTCGGAAGAACAGTGTTAAAATAATTATGTGCTTGTTTGTTTAAAATAAAAGTTATTTAATTATTTTTAAATAGAGAAATTTGCTTAATTAATTATTTTATTAAATAAATAAATAAAATTTATTTATTAAAGATAAAATTTTCTAATTAAAAAATGATAGAAAAATTTATAAGCTTTGAATTGAAAATAAACACGATTCAAAACAACTTCTTTTAAAAATGAATTATTTTTTTTTTATAAATTAAAGTTATCTGGTGTTTATGTTAATTAGTCTCTTATATACATTTTATTTTCTAAATTTTTAATATAATATCAATTAGTTATAATTTATTAAGGAGCTAATTTCATATTGATAAATAGTGTGTACTTTATGTAAAACAGTAATCATCAGAGGGTCTCTGATTTTGAGTTGTATTCATCAATGCATGTTATGAGAGCTCAGATATAGGCACAAAAGAAAAACTTTTTCGCAGTTTAGTTTATGTTAATTTTATTAAAAAGGATGAATAACAAAATTCTGAAAATTATTTATATATAATTTGTTATTAAGAGTGTGGATAACTTGGGCCCCAAGTCTGAACGTTATGGGTTTTCCGAAAAGGTCGTAGGTTTTTCTGAAATCTCGTTGGTTTAAATTTTGTGTTTTGTTCCGCTCACATTGTTTTTTCAAAAATCTCTTTCATCTTCTGTTATAATTCACTCTGCGTATAGTGGCAGAATGTGAGAGAGACTGCACTCTCTAACAAAAAATAGTGTTGTCGTCGAACTCTTGCTCCAATGGTAATGAAAGGTCTTGATAATGGGAGCAGAAAGCGCAAACGACAGACTTCAAGAAAGCTTGGAGTGGATGCAAAAGTGGAGGTAATTTTTTTCGATGTTGGGATTTCTGGGGTTTCTTTGAGATAAAAAAATACAATTACGAATTGTTGCATTCTCGTGTTGGGTGTTATTGGCCTTTTCTGTTTGCATCTCTTTCTATTTTTGGTTTTGATAATTTTTGCCTTTGGTTTCTTTTCATGATCGGATACTTAATTATTTAGACGCTTTTGTACACATGGTATTGCCGTTTTTCTTATTCAATTCCCTTCTTCACACCATGCATACGAAGTTTCAATTTTTTTGGACAAAACTTGCATACATTACTATGGTGATTTAGGTGCTCTTCTCGAATCAAATTTTGAGTTTTCAATGTTGTAAACGCGCAGCAATTTAGAGTTTTCGGAGACCCGGTTGAAGGATGGCTGGGTCGTCCCGGAAGAAGTGAAACTCCCGCGGTGTCTGGAAGCCTCGGGAATCTGATAATGCGAATGACACTGAAGAGGATGTGTTGAAAGGTAATGGTTTGTTGTGATATGAGAGATAGGTGAGGGGAAGGAAGGAGGGTGATATGGATTTATGGAACGTGACTGAGTAAGTGAGTGGGGTGGAGTGAGTGTGAGAGTGAGGAAGAAGAAGGGTTTAGAAGAGAGGTATGATGGGACATGAACGATGATATTAGGCATTATGAAGTAAATAGGATGATTGTATGCAATAGTTTTGCTCTGTTTTTCAGTTCAATCTTCTCTGTCTTTCTTCGCAGACACCACGCCAACCAATTTATAAGGAAGTGACCCTCTAAATCCATCCCGTGCCACTATATACCCTCAAGAATGGGAACTTTGATCAAGATTTAGTGTAATAATAATTACTGAATAAAAGTGACATTTTTTTAAATGTTGAGTTTTGGTGTACTAAACTCGAGTGTGAGACTATTTTCATATGCGATTTTCGTTTTCTATTCTTGAAAATTGAGTTTAGAAAATATTGCAGGTGCGGAGTATGGACAACGGGTTTCAAGGATCGTGGCACCCCGGGACAGTTATCATGTGTGAGGATTTGCAACGGCGTGTCAGATATAACAATATTTTGGATAACGAGGGGGTGTATAATCTTGAGGAGGTTGTGATTGTTTCAAAAGCTTTGGACGGTGATATTGAATGTGCAGATTTCTATGCACGCGGGTTCATTAGGCCACTGCCTCCTTTGGTTGAGTTTGATATGGGGGACCTTGTATATGGTTTATGTGTTGATGTGAACTATGAGGAAGCTTGGTGGGAAGGAGTTATATTTGACTACTGTGATGGAATGGACAAGAGGAGTGTGTTTTTTCCTGATTTGGGTGATGAAATACCGGTTGAAATTCATCAGTTGCGGATTACTCAGGACTGGGATGAAATTACTGAGGAGTGGACCCGACGAGGGAACTGGGTGTTTCTTGATCTGGTGGAGGAGCAGAAGAGGAACTTGTTTGTCACAGTTTCGGCCAAGCAGATTTGGTATGATATACGCATTAAAAAGGAATTTGAGACGATTAGAGAGTGGACATGTAATTTGAAGTACTTGTGGACCGAGTTGATAAAGGAGATAATTAATCACTACTTGTCTCTAACGTTAAAGGAAATTATCTCTGTCCTAAACCTTCCTCGGAGTCTTTTAAATGAAACACCAGAGCATGAATTTGCTGAAGCTATGCCTAATGTTGACCTAAGCATGATCTGGCATAATAAGCAAACTGCTGTGCAGAAAGGAACTGTCCCTCGTATTAAAGGGACCTTATCTGACGTTCAAAATGAAATTAGACCCTGTGGTGATAGTCCTTTTGATGAAAGCAGAGAAGATAGATCCTCAAGTCATTTAATGTCCTCTTTTTGGAATCCTGTGAAGTTGTCTGGGGTTGAATTATGCCCTGATGCTGTTAGGGAATATCCACTTGCTTCCAAACGTGAAGTTAGGGCATTTTGGATGGACAAATTACAAAAGCATCTTTTATGTCTTGGATGGAAAATTGAATGGTCAAATAGATTAAATATTAAACGTTACAAGTATATTTCCCCTTACACGAAGGGCCAAAGGTATTACCTTTCACTCATTGAAGTTTGTAAAGCTATGAAACAGGACCCCAACATGAACTCCTTGCATCTCCAAAATGATCAGACCATAACGCATCCTACAGTTGATTTCCATCTTTCAGATGTGCCTTCTATTCCAGCTGAAAATCTTCAGTCTATAACGCATCTCCAAAATGATCACTCTATAATGCATCCTACAGTTGATTGTCCTCTTTCAGATGTGCCTTCTAATCCAGCTGAAAATATTCAGTCTGTAACGCATCTCCAAAATGATCACACTATAATGCATCCTACAGTTGATTGTCCTCTTTCAGATGTGCCTTCTATTCCAGCTGAAAATATTCAGTCTGTAACGCATCTCCAAAATGATCACACTATAATGCATTCTACAGTTGATTGTCATCTTTCAGATGTGCCTTCTATTCCAGCTGAAAATATTCAGTCTATAATGCATCTCCAAAATGATCACACTATAATGCATCCTACAGTTGATTGCCATCTTTCAGATGTGCCTTCTATTCCAGCTGAAAATATTCAGTCTATAACGCATCTCCAAAATGATCACACTATAATGCATCCTACAGTTGATTGTCATCTTTCAGATGTGCCTTCTATTCCAGCTGAAAATATTCAGTCTATAACGCATCTCCAAAATGATCACACTATAATGCATCCTACAGTTGATTGTCATCTTTCAGATGTGCCTTCTATTCCAGCTGAAAATATTCAGTCTATAACGCATCTCCAAAATGATCACACTATAATGCATCCTACAGTTGATTGTCATCTTTCAGATGTGCCTTCTATTCCAGCTGAAAATATTCAGTCTATAACGCATCTCCAAAATGGTCACACTATAATGCATCCTACAGTTGATTGTCATCTTTCTGATGTGCCTTCTAATCCAGCTGAAAATATTCAGAATCTAGATATCATTCATGCAGCTGAAAATATTCAGAATCTAGATATCATTCCTCCAGCTGAAAATATTCAGAATCTAGATATGTTTCCTCCTGCTGAAAATATTCAGAATCTAGATATCTTTCCTCCTGCTGAAAATATTCAGAATCTAGATATCTTTCCTCCTGCTGTGCCATCTTCTCCCGTTGAAGATGAAGTTGAAGAAGTACCTGAGTATTGTCCTCGGGCTGTTGTGCAGTATTATCGCATGTATATATACAAGAAGAGCCGGGCTGATAAAAAAAAGTGGATACTAAAGGCAAAGAAGCATCTGTTATCAGAGGGATGGGTTTTAGACCATCCACCTCCATTTAATAAGAGAAGGGGAATAATATACATGTCTCCACAAAATCGGAAATTCCCAACACTCCATGCAGCATGCAAATTTTGCATTGAAGAAACTATTCCTAATTGGGACCTTGAATGGCAGGAGATGGATGAAGGTGCTTCTGGTATGAAACCAACTACAAATCAAAAGAAGAAAAACAAGAGGGATTTGAAGGCCAACACACCTAAGGGCCAAAGCAATGGACCTCGACAGGTGCTAAGATCAAATAAGAGGGTGCAAAAGGTGTCTGCCTCTACTCATTTACATCACAAGCCTCTAAACATTCCGTCTTATTTGATAGACAGCAACATCATCTTACCAAGGTCTAAGGTTTATTATAAGGCAAAAGGCACGAACCGTGCAGTCCGAACTTTGGCTGAGGGGAAAATAACTCATGATGGAATCAAGTGTAACTGTTGCCTTACAATATACAGTTTTGCTGGATTTGAAAAACATGCTACTGGCAGTAGTACCTGCAGACCCTCTGCTAATATCTTTTTGGATGACGGGAAGTCACTCTTGGACTGCCAGATACAAATGATGCAAGGTCAAAAGAATAGTGTAGCTAGTGGAAAAGCATTAAGTGATCTTTCTCTAGCTGATAATGACTACATTTGTTCAGTTTGTCGCTATGGTGGTGAACTTATTTTATGTGATAAATGTCCATCCTCATTCCATAAGACGTGTCTTGGTTTGGAGGTACATTAACTATTCTCCTTCTGAATAATGCTATATTTAGTGCTATCCTGTTTTTACTTATCACAGCACAGGACATTAATTTGGTGCTTTGACATTAGATCTAGGTTTTTACTTCCGCTTGTATTATATTTTTCTGTATAGGATGTCCCTGAAGGTGACTGGTTTTGTCCATCATGTCGTTGCGGGATTTGTGGCCAAAGGAAAATTGATGGAGATGAGGTTGAACACTTCCTTTCTTGCATACAATGTGAACATAAATGTATGCCAGCTACACCCTATTTTTACTTTCATTTTATTTCCATTCTTGAATATCTTTGAAGTGTATTTGTGTGCATACGTAAATGTGGTCTTAGTTTTTGTCAAACTTGTGTAGATCATGTTAGGTGCCTGAAAAATGGAGCTGCAAATACATCAAGATATAATGGAAACTGGTTCTGTGGAAAAGACTGTGAAAAGGTAGATTAAATCCACTCCAACTGGTACTTTATTTCTCCCCCATTTTAGAAAAAAATATCTATAATGTGCATGAAAACTTGCTTCTTACTATTTGTGGTTTACCATCAAGCTTTTTGTTTGTTGCGATTTGATGAAAAATGGGAGCCTCCATGACCGTTAGTTTGTGTGTTTTCATTGAGAGTCTTTTTTAGGACACTAGTTTGGCTCTACTAAACAATATGGTATCTATTTTTTGCAGATATTCGAGGGCCTTCATAAATTATTAGGAGAGCCAATTCCAGTGGCTAGCAATCTAACTTGGACTTTGGTGAAGTTTATCAACCCTGACAGTTGTGATCTTGGTAATGTTGAAAGTGATTTAGTGGCAGAAAGTTACTGCAAACTCAATCTTGCTCTTTCGTTGATGCATGAATGTTTTGAGCCCCTAAAAGAACCCTTGACTTCCAGAGATCTCGTGGAAGATGCTCTATTCAGCAGAAGGTCAGAAATTGTTATCCTTCAAGACCTGATCATTATGTTTCTATCTTGCTTGTTGCATTTGTGTTATATACATTGATACATCGATGACATTTACTAATGGGTGTGTTTACATCTACTTTATTTACTTTGTCCATGATAATGTTATCTGCCTCTAAAGAAATGTCATACATTATTGTTTCATCTCTTGATCTATACGTGACATCTATAGCTTGGAACTTAACAGGTCAGAGCTTAACCGAATAAATTTCCAGGGTTTCTACACTGTGCTACTTGAGAGAAATGAAGAACTGGTTAGTGTGGCAACTGTTAGGTAAGTATAAGTCTTTTACTGTTTTTGTTTGATTGCACAAGTGCATGTCCTATTTGAGTTGTTTTATTAGCCTGTCGTATTTCATAGTTCATTTGTTATGTCAACTTTTTAGGGTCCATGGGAAGAAGGTAGCTGAAATACCTCTTGTTGGTACCAGATTACAATATCGTCGACATGGAATGTGTCGCATTTTAGTAAATGAGCTTGAAAAGGTAATCCACAAAACACACATGTCCTTTTTTTTATTGTCTTTTACCTTAATTATGGAAGCTTTTTTTGTCGGGAATAAGTGGTATAGTATAACTGCAGTGTGTCATCACCTGAAGCTATTCAAATTAATAAGTGGTATAGCAATTCACTTGAAACCAATCCACGTAAAAGTTAGTTTTTGTTGCTATATCGAGCAGTCAATAGCGTTAGTTCTTCTGAAACATTTATTGTAAATCATTCACTTTTCTTTCTTTTAAGTAAATCACCCCTTTAAGTTTTGGTGGATGTTCGAAAACCATTAAAAATATACTGTAATGTAGTGACTAGTTACTGTTTGCACTATCTTATTTCACTGTCAAATGTATTCCCAGTAGACGAATTTACCTTATACCAAAGCTTTATTCATCAATCAATTAGGAATACTGATAGGATATAAGGTAATAGATAATGTTAGGGGTTAGGAAAGTATATGAGACAAGAAGGACACCGAATGGTGGAAGGCGGGGAGAGATCGAGCCGAACGGTAGAAGACGGTGGAGAGAAGAAGAAGGGCACCGAATGGTGGAAAGCGGGGAGATGTCGAGCTGAATGATGGAAGGCGGTGATGAATTGAGCCGAATGACTGAAGGCGGTGATCGTTCGATGTCGAATGCTGGAAAGAGATGAAGAATTGGAGTCGATCGGTTGAAGAGTTACTATCCTAACTGTTGTAGCAGTTAGGATAGGCAGGAAATAATTATAGTAAATAGAGCTATATCATAGAGAAATATTCGGTATAAGATAATTATAGTAAATAGAGATATATTCTAGGAAAATATTCAGTATAAGATATTTATAGTAAATAGAGTCATATTCTAGGGAAATATTTAATATAAATAGAGCTAGATTATATTGTGAAGGGTATGTTTTTTATTATTGAGTTTGTTGATAGGCGACTACAGTCCTGTGAGGGAGGTTATGCTCCCAATTATCCTTGTTTACTTTTGTTTATTCAGAGCATTCTATTACCATTAATAAGAGAAATTCATTCTTTTATTATCTTTTCTGCCTACTATGATAGTGGTTAATTAGGTTTCCTACTCAGGAACCTAACAATTGGTCCGACCTGCCGGATCCTGATTGAGAGGAGTGAAAGACGTCATGGAGGGAAGAATGAATGCAGTTGAAGGGAAACTGGAGAACATGGGGCTGAAATTGGAGAACGTGGAGTTGTCCATGGGGGATTGGAGGCGAAGACGACGACAATCTACAAAGATTTACAAGAACTGATGAGGATGATAGGAGGGCGAGCCCGACAACTAGAAGGAAATTCGGATGAAAGCCAGGGGTCCTTAACGAGAATCGGAGAAGGAGAAGGGAGAGCTTGGAGGAGAAACTGGATGAAGACCAAGGAGACGCCCAACCTAATTGGGTAGAAGGGGTAGAACTACCCACTTTTGAAGGGTTTGATCCGTTGGGGTGGATCTCTAAGGTAGAGATGTTCTTCGAGTTGCAAGGGATGGTAGAGGAGGAAAAGGCGCTCCTAGCCGACATCAGTATGGAGGGTAGCGTTGGCTACTGGTTCAGAGCCCAGAAGGAGAAAGCCAAGAATCCTTCTTAGGAAGGTCTGAAGGGAGCAGTAGTGATGCGATTTGGAGAACGGAACAAGGGTACAATCTTCGAAAGGTTGGCGGCCAGTAAGCAGTTGGGGACCGCAGAAGAATACAGTCAAGATCCGAACGTGAGAGGACGGCCGAAACCGAACGAGAGAGGACTGTCGGATCCGAACGTGCGAGGACTGTCAGACCCGAACGGAAGAAGATTGTAGGACCCAAATGAGAGAGGACGACCGGATCCAAACGTGAAAGGACTGTTGGAATCAAACGGGAGAGGACGGACGGACCCGAACGGAAGAGGATGGCCGAACAGGCGAGGAGGGCTAGATCATGGGGAGAGAAGCGTGATGGAAGGAAGAATGAAGGCTTTGGAGGGAAGGGTGGATGGAAGAATTAATGCCTCGGAGAGAAGGATGGATTCTGTGAAGAGGTGGGCTAGCGAACAGAAAAAGGGGCTTGCGGTTCTTGATACACCTATAGAGGGGAGAGAGTTGTTTGAAGTATGGAAAGACCTTGAAGACCATTTTCTCAAGGCCTACGATTCTGGAAAATAGGTGTCCAGAATGCTGGAAGGTAATAGGATCCAGGAAGAAGGGGAGTCATTGGAGGAGGAATTGCCATCACCCAAGCCTCCATACCTGAATTGGAGGGTTGTAGCCAATAGGTTCCCTTCATATGATAACACAAGGATGAAAAGGAGCCATGAGATCAATCTTCCCGTTTCCAACCTTAAGGATAAGGTTGTTTTGCAGCGGGGTGTAATGATAGAATATAAGGTAATAGATAATGTTAGGGGTTGGAAGGTATACGAAAGAAGAAGAAAGTATATGAGAGAAGAAGGATATCGAACGGTGGAAGGCGGGGAGAGATCGAGCTGAATGGTGGAAGACGGTAAGGGAGAAGAAGAAGGGCACTGAATGGTGGAAAGTGGGGAGATGTCAAGCCAAATGGCTAAAGGTGGTGAGGGTTCGATGTCGAACGCTGGAAAGAGACGAAGAACTGGAGCCAATCGGTTTAAGAGTTATTATCCTAACTGTTGTAGCAGTTAGGTTGGGTGGGAAATAATTATAGTAAATAGAGCTATATCATATGGAAATATTCGACATAAGATAATTATAGTAAATAGAGCTATATTTTAGGAAAATATTCAGTATAATATATATAATAAATAGAGTTATATTCTAGAAAAATATTAGTATAAAATATTTATAGTAAATAGAACCATATTCTAGAAAAATATTTAATATAAATAGAGCTAGATTATATTGTAAGGGGTATGTTTTTTTATTGAGTTTGTTGACTGGACGATTAAAGTCCTATAAGAAAAATTATGCTCCAAATATCCTTTGTTTACTTTTTGTTTATTCCAAAAATTCTATTATAGTTAATAAGAGAGATTCATTCATTTATTATCTTTTTGTCTAGTGTGTGGTTAATTAGGTTCCTTAGGAACCTAACAAATACATTATCAAACTTTATGCCTGAAATGGAAATGATTAATAAATTTGATTCTCATTGGTTCTATCGTCCCTTTTAAAAAATGGAGAAATGGAGTGTTGTTTTCCATTTATATTTTCCACTTTAATAATATGCAACACAGTTAAGCTACGTTTCACAACACTAACTACAACCATAATTGAAATCTGAAAAGTAGCTAAAAGCCGAAAAACTAATTGATAATTAATAAATATACACTAACAAAAGTACACATACATGTACGTCGTTTCTTTATTATAATTTTTAAATTATTATAGTTTTTATACTATGCATTGTAATATGCATATTGAAATATATTTTCATTTAATTCTAATTTAAATTAAAGTAATAATATCATAATGTTAAGTAGATACCTACCTTCATCATGTTAATCAATGTAAACTGTAATAAAAAAACTACCATATACTAATATCTTCAAATTTAATGTAAAAATGAAAAAAAAAATATTGCAAATAGTAGAACGAGTAAAATAATTAATGTATTGAGTTACTAGAAAATATTATTAAGTTCTTGATTAGAAGAACAAATTATTAATTATTATAATTACCACAATTAGATATCGTAGTAGGATAAGTTATTAGTAATTATTGTAATCTTTTAAGGTGGCAGAGTTCCTATATATATATCCTCTTGGTACTTTACTACTTTACTGTCAAGTAAAAATGAGGTTTCCTCCTAAATTTGTTGAAGTATTGTTCTAGGGTGTTTAGGTCTACTCCCCATTCAATGCTTAACCTTATCCACCTTAGATGTATGTTGGGGCTTTTCCATTTTCACTGCCGCTGCTGCCATCTACATATCCCTAAATTCATGATTAGAAGAGAGAGAGGAATGATTATGAAAGAAAGAGGAGAGATTTTTGGTCAACACTTGTTCTCTTGAGAACCCAACTATCTATATGTCTCTGGATTCATGATTATAAATGAGAGAGTAGAAATTTTTGTTCTTCTAAATCAGCACAATCTTTTCATCTGGTATTTATAAGGTTGGTTTGATGGTAAAATTGGAAGGTGAAAGAGGTTGTGGGTTTAAGTCCCCTTACTAACACTTAGAGTTATAAGGTTGGTTAAGGAAGGAAGAGAAAGGTTGTGCCCACTAACATAATACTAGAATTTGGATTCTTTATTGGGTTTTTTTGTACAAAGAATTATCATCAGTATAATTTTAATGCTAAGCCCCCAGTAAAGAATTTGGACTTGTAATTCTAATAATTAACATTTGTCGATAGAAATAAAATTTCTATATGAGAAGTAATAATAAAAATAAATAATGTAGTGTGAACTCTGATTTAACCTATTTCCTAACAAATAAGGTTGTATTTTTTTATTTTATTTTTTATCCATCACTAAATAGAATAACTCTATAATTACCACACACGTTCACATCATCCTTATAGATAGATAACTGGTCAATATAATTTAAAACTTATTTAATCATTTTTAATTTGGCATAACTGTCTTTAAATTTAATTATTCACATGTAAGACCAATGTTGAACCAAGGATCCAATCAATTATTTGTATTTCTCACAATATAGTTTAATATGATAGAACCAAACACATGGATGTAGATCAACACTTCATGAAATAAAAGTTAGCCTTATACAAAGGGTCTTCCCCCAAATTGGTTTTATGATCTTAGATGCAGGATGAGAATAGTAGACATTCGTTTACCATTGAAAAGTTTAAGAGGTTGTGTTGAGTTAAGAGGAGATATTATCAATTATTGTACTTATGTAGGAGATCACCAAATAAATTTTTGAAATATTAACAAATAAATATTTTTTTCAAAAACCCTTTTTTACAACCATCGGACACACTAACGCTGTAATTTAATTAAAAAACCGGGTTTAGAATCCACCCCCACTCGAAGCTCAACGTCAAGAACCTAAAAAAGAGAGCAACATCAAACTCTACCCATTTTTGAAAAAGGCAAATAAACAAGAATAAATTTTGAGAACACAATTCTCGAAAATAAATTTTAGGTAAAAGACTAAATATATATTCTTATATCAAGGACTAAACACATCTACGTGGTCTAGCAGTGGCTGCACGAAATATTGTTAGAAAAAATTGTTGATACAATCTTAGGAAATAAACTTTTAAGTTTAACTCAACTTTAAAAAAAAATTTATAAGGTGAGGCTTGCATATGGTATGGCCTGTCGGTACAGGATCTCCAACAAAAATGTTGTGTTATGTTTTTTACATGTTTTCTACTTCGTAGTAGAAAAAATGTCTTCGCCATGTTTTCTACTTTTTTTGCACCATCTTCAATGCCGAGTATATGGTTTATGAAAGTTGACCTGTGACTAGATATTTTTTTCTTATGACAAGCGTTGCACTTAGACATCATCAGGTCAAAATAATAATCAAGAAGTTCAGAATCTAACGGTTACAGAAAGGTTTCCTAATCTCTGCATATCTACACATAACATAGCACGGTTTCTAACAGAAATAGTAAAAGCAGTGTCAGATTAGGAATCTGAGCCTTGCGTTTCAAATTTGCCACTGAAAAGTGAAGAAAAAGAATTTGGGAGAACGGTATTGTGTTGTATAGGAAGAAGAAGAAAGTTAGATTATAAGAGTACCAAACCTGTTTTTTAAAAAAATAACATTGTTCAGTTCAATTGTCTGCTTTTAAAATTCGGTCTAGTTAATTTTTTTTATATCCTGTTTGGTTCAATTCCGTTTCAAAACGGTTCAAGTTAGAACAGGTTAGTTTGCACACCCCTGGATACAATCTGTTTATAGTGATTGATTAGGGGTTTTTGAAATGGTGTTTATTCAGGTCTAAAGAAGAGTTTGTGTGCGGTGAGACTAGATAATAAATAGTGGTGATAATTATAATATCATGATTTTTTTATTCTTGAGCAGTCCTACTTACAGTTTCTCTAACTTGTACTTTACTTACTTCAGAAGCTCATGAAATTAGATGTGGAGAGGCTGGTTTTGCCGGCTGTTCCTAGTGTGCTAGAGACATGGACCGGCTCTTTTGGCTTTGCAAAGATGACTGATTATGAGAGATCTCAGTTTCTGGACTATACTTTCCTAGATTTTGAGGGTACCATTATGTGCCAAAAGTTGTTGATGAACATAGCATCTTCAGATTCAGTTCCGTTAACAGGTATGTAATCTTCTATATTTCTTGTTTTCATAATGTAGACAAGTAAACCAGTTTGAATCACACGAAAGAACTACAGCATGATGTTTCCTTTTGCAGAGTCTAAACGTTGCTGTTTTAACCCCAGTAAGTCTGGTCCCATATGTGAAGTGCACCAAGGAGAAGCTATTGACGAAAAGTAAGTCACACTTCTCTCCTTTGATCCTAATCATGAGAGAACAAAATTATAACGACATTAAATGATTGCTATGTATGTGTATGGTATATATGGTTATGGGACAACATTAATTGACACGAAGTGTCTAACCCCTATACTTTCACCCGTTAGTATATTTTTATAATATTACTTAAATTAGGAACTTAAGATGCTCTCAAAGTTGTTCCGTTATAAGATTGCTTTGTATGTTTTATAATGTATCCTGTATTAATTGTGTAATCTATTTGGGGTATAATATAATCATTGTTATACTAACATATATGATATTTTTTTAGTGCTTGTGCTGGCAATAATGATCACCATGATTTAAGAGCTGTTGACCCATTTAGAATGGTATTTTCTTCTCCTTTGTCACCTCGTGTTGTTTAAGGATGTTTTCTGTTTGTTAGGACTGTTAATGTCCTTGGTTCGTAGGTAAAGGAACCGGATCAACAGTGTCAGAAAGGAACAACCAGTAGTGTGTGCTCGTTTGATGAACTAGTTGAAAGGAATGATGATGATCTGTATAAGTTTGTCTACACACGAAAGAAACTGAGAAAATGATACCAAGGGATTTAGCATGGCATCATGGCTGTTGCATGATAAATCCTCCATCTGTCCACATAATGTCACAAGTAGTAGACTTTTGTACAGTGTAGAAATAGCCTTGTACAAAACTCTACTTCAGTTACAAGCGCTTGCGCAGCTGTAATTTTTCTTGTACAACTGCACTTTTGCTCTGCATTAATGTTGTTACAACCTTGCATCACTGTGCTTTTTTGCTGTCATCTGAGTTTGTGAAATAGAAACGGTATATTTGAGTGAGGTTATAGTTGCACATTGGACATTATCTGTTTTACTATTTTTCTGTTTTGAAAATGTAATGTGCTATGAAAAGCAAGGAACATATGCTTGTATCAGAATTTGGTTCTTTTGATGGAAGGGGTAAAACAACCCTTTTGGGCCATGTATCTATACTTATACTTTCTTTGGTTAAGTATACAAGTTAGGATTCTTACACTGAGAGATACTATTATACTAACCCACCAACACAATGCTACCAAGTGCTAATTGGGAAGACAAGCATCCACAAATCTCACCCTATCAGCCACCTACAATTTTAAACATGCATTAGAATTAATGCACATTGTAAATGTTTTCTCTCTCTCGTTTTCAAACTCATTTAATTAATCATTGTTATATAATTAGGTTTTATAATAATTATTTCAAGAATTCAATATTAATATACCATTGATTATGATGTCAACTGATAAAAATTCATGTTCTTTGGGACTTTTAAAATAATGATTAAAAAAGTTAATCATCCTTAATTATATAATAGTTCGTGATTAGATAAAATTTAAAGAAAATATTTAGATTCTCGTTGTATTTCTATTTTATTTTATTAGTCATACTTGTAATCTAATGTTATTGTGTATAATATATCATTTAGATTATCTCTATATAAATGATTTTTATTAAAGTTATACTTGTAATATCATTTGAATTTGAATATAAAATAACTGCATTTTAATGTTGGGTATTGTTTTGATTGACATTTAACAAATTTTTACACCTACTTTATATTTATTATTTTACTCTTTATTTTTTTATAAATATAAAAATGAAAATTTTTTAGTAACAAAAATACTCTAAAAGTTCTTTTTATATACTTTTAATCAAAAGAAAATCCATACTTATAAATTATATCACAAATCCTCGTAAAAGTTGGTTCGTTTGATTTTAATGTATTTTATTGTATTCAAATAATACTATATAGGAATATATATATATATATATATATATATATATAATTGTTAAATCAACTTATAAAGTTGACTTCTATTATATTAAAAATATTTAAACTAAATTATTATTATATTTTAAAGTATTTAACAACATTTATAAAAAAAATATTATTTTTTTAGTAATAATCAATTCTTAAATAAAAATTGACTTATTTTTTAAGTATGTTGTATTTCTATACTTTTCGTACGTAGGATGGTTAAAAGACTAAATTGTTCATTTTATGTCCCTTGTGTCATCGTCATCCTCTTTATCATAGTCGTGTTGCTCCTTTATCATTGTCACAATTTTCTTATCACTATCTTTATCTATGTAGAGTGTTACGAGGGATTCAAGGAACAAAGTGTCTTGGACAATCAAAGAATTACTTTTCCATGAGATTTTTTTTTTCAGATTATACAATTAAAAGAATTGACTTCTGGACAGTACAATTTGGAAAATACTGTAAAATTACACAATATAAAAGTTTTACTTATGAAAAAATAGTTTTCAAACTGTATAATCCATAAATTTCTTTTTTAGACAAAAAGATAATTTTTAAATTGCATAATCCATAAACAAATTTTTAATTACACAATTTAGAAGTCAAATGAATTTTGAATTATATAATTCATAATTTTTTCTTCATACATACTTTTAAAGTACACAATTTAAAAGTAAAAAATAAAATCAAATTATACAATCTAAAAAAAATATGTCAAAAATTATTTTTTAAGATGGAAAGGGAAATATTGAGATGTAAAGAGTAATCCCAACAGACTATAACTATACAAACCGGCTTACTTTTGTTTATTAATAAACTTAATTAAGAATATGAATTTATGCTGTAAAAGCTGGTGTGGTGTCAAAAAATGATGAAAAAAATCAAATAAAAATGATGTATATGTAAGGAGAAAAGTGGAAATAACCATGGGAGGCACATGCACATGCAACTGTGGGTGTGTAAAATTCCACTGCAGAAAGATGTTTGGAAGATGCTCGGAATAACATTGAAATTTTATTTGAAAAAAAAATGTATATCAAGATTATTTTTTTTATTTTTACATACTTGATATATTTTATTTCCTCATTCTATATCTTACATAAAAAATTAGTGCCGTTTTAAAAAAATATAAATGTAAAAACAGAAACAAGTGGTGTTCATGCTATGTAGACACAATGTTGGTTTCATGTCCAAATTCAATAGTTTTTCAATGAACAATGGAAGAAATCACTGTACAATATTTTTATTCAATAATTATACTTAATTGATTATGTTAATGAGATTAGTGTCCTTAAGATGATAAACTGAACTTCCATTTAAAATTACTTATGCTTACACTAAAATAGCACAATTTCTTTTACCTCACTTTGAAGAATTTGATCTACCTTCTTCCCATATACACAACCAAACAAAACTTGCACCATTGTTTTGCATGATTTTATTCACAGACAACAAAAAAAACTCAATCCTTTATATATTCACATTTTTTCAAAACAGTCCAAACATCCTTCTTCCCTCTCCCCTTTCCCTGTCCTTTTTGTCTTCAACCTTTTTTCTCTCTCTTTCTCTCCACAGATTCTGCAATGGCACTTCTCCATTTTCAGTCTCCCTTTGCTGCTTTTCAAAACTTGTTTGCTCTTCTCTTCCTTCTTTCCCTTCACCACCACACAGCCTCCTGTGCCCTCCTTCTAAGCTTGAGACATCACCACAACACTCTCCGCCAGCAGAGACCCATGATCCATGCCAACCAAACCAACTGTGCACTCTTTGTGGGAACCTGGATCCAAGATGACTCATACCCTCTCTACCAATCCTCCAACTGCCCCATCATAGATCCACAGTTCAACTGCAAAATGTTTGGTCGCCCGGATTCCGAATACCTCAGATACAGATGGAGACCCCTCAACTGTGACCTCCCAAGGTACCCCCCAAGCTCAAAACAAAGACTTGTGCATAAAGATGACATTTTTAGTTTTCTTCAAGTTAATTGTTCTGCAGAAAATGGTGTCTTTGGATGTGTTTGATTTCTAGTTTCAGAAAACTGCTTTCACTTTTGAGTGTAAGTAAACAAGACTGTTCACCAGCTGGGGTTGAGTTTGGTGGAATGATTTAATATTTAGAATATGTTTTTCTTTCAAGGAACATACCTGTTAAAAAAACAAGGTTATTCAAATAGCTGATTAAGGGTGATGTCAGACATGAGAAAATGTTTCCCAGTTGTTTTGGGTTTTCTTTAAACTTGATAAATTTTGAATGAGAAGACCCAAGTATACTATGTATGCCTCTAAATGGTTTTGTAGCATGTTCATGGTAGGTTCAATGGGGAGGAGTTTCTGCTGCAAATGAAGGGTAAAACGGTGATGTTTGTGGGTGACTCACTGGGGCGCAATCAATGGCAGTCGTTGATTTGCATGATATACACTGCAGTTCCTCAGACACAAACACAATTAGTCAGAGGGGAACCACTCTCAACCTTCAGATTCTTGGTGAGTGAGAACACTGTATTTCTTCCGAGCAATCATAATGTTTGTTTACCCACTGGACATTTTCTCACTATTTTTATTTTCCATTAATTGAGATTTTAGATTTAGGCCATGATGTTGTCAGTTAATGATCCCTATTATTTCCTGGGCAAAGTTTTCCAAATTTTGGTTTAGGGAAAAGGAAAGTAAGCACAGTGGTTTTCCTGGATCAGAACTGCAGTGTCCCTCTTTGTTAGGCTTCATTCGAAATTAGAGAGGGAGTAGGTTCTGATATTTTCAACAAGACAAAGTATCTGTTGTAAAAGGATCTGAGAGAGGGGCCCAGATGTACTATTAAGCCATTATATTTGGAGTAGTTGATGCAAACTGGAACACTAAATTATGTTCAAGCTTTTTTGTTTGTATAAAGTAGACTTGTATAAAAGCAGCATGTTACAGCTGCAAAAGATGGTCCCAAGTCATGACTGGGTTTTGGTATGCTATGTGCAGGACTACGGTGTTACCATTTCATTTTACAGAGCTCCTTATCTGGTAGAGATTGATGTGGTCCAAGGGAAGAGAATTTTGAGGCTGGAGGAGGTTGATGGGAATGGTGACCTATGGAGAAATGCTGATGTCCTTTCTTTCAACACTGGACATTGGTGGGAGCATCAAGGTTCTCTTCAAGGGTAGGCAAATAATATTGTAAACTTTCACTGTCATTACTACCTTAAGTATGTGTGATGCTGAGTATGATTTCGATTTCTGATTGATTGAGTCTGCACTTTTTTCTCTTCTTAAATCATGAAGTGAATTTTGAAGTAATTTGGTGTTTTGCATAATAAGTGCAGGTGGGATTACATTGAATTAGGAAGCAAATACTATCCAGACATGGATCGTTTAGCAGCTTTGGAAAGGGGTATGAGAACATGGGCTAATTGGGTGGACAGCAATATTGACAGAAGCAGAACCAAGGTGTTCTTTCTGGGAATTTCTCCTTCACATACCAAGTATGAACTCTGACCCTGCATTTCTCTCTCTTAAATTATTGTACTGTAACATAGTGTGGCCTTTCTACGCTTTATGATTGTGTTTGTTCAATTGGAATAGCATGTCCAACACGTAAAAATCTGCCTCTGTCTGATGAGTTAATGGCAGGGATTAAGAGCCTCCTCTTTTGACCCATTATAGTTACCTATCTTAGAGCTGAAATTCACGTGCTTCTGTTAGCTCTTTGTCCTATCTCTATCAGTCTGGCAGACACTTTTGCCTTTGCCTGGTGGTGGTCACTAGTCAATAATTTCTCCAGTGTTTTTAATAATGCATTTAGTACTGTTGATTATGGATTTTTACCCTCTAAATGGGTGACCATCAAATGTGTAATCTTAGTTGATGATGAGAAGCTCAAATATTAATGTGTGTTGGAAATCTAACCTTATAACAGTATAACAATTAAAAATAACTAAAAATAAGATCAATTTATAATACAAATTTTATTTTATAAAATAATTTTATAAAATTAAGTTAGATTTAAAATTCATTGTTGAGAAAACCTCATCTTAGAAATTTAGAAATTGCTTTTGCAAAAAGTTGAGTTAAACTTAAATTTTACACCATTTGTTATCTTGCCTCTGAATGAGTTACTGCATTTAGAAGAACAGCATACATAAAAGAGTGTCTAAGTACACATAAGAAAGCCCTTTGTTGTTTGTTTCTTATCATTGATAATTTGATTAATATTATTGAACTTTACTTTAGTTTCTATATTATATGTATGAGTATTTTAACATAGAAAAGATGAAAAATTGGATTATACTTCTGCAATTTATGCAAAGAGACCTTTTAGTGACTTTTGTGAATACTGATGCTCATAAGAAGTGGGTTGGCACTTTTAGTAGCCTTAAACAATCTGATATCTCAATTCAATTTGAAGAAAAGTTGTTCCCTAATGCATAATAATGTTGATGCATGTCTGAGAAAATTTCAGTTTTTTCTTTTAAAATGTGTTGATGAAATTAAATTCATGTATCAACTGTTTTAATTGCCTACTAAATACCTTTTGTACATAAAATAAAACATTTATGTGTGGGCCCCTTTCATATGTTTTTATCTTTGAGCTTCTCATTCAACACTTGTTTAAATGCCATATGATGATGTGACATGGACTTCTCATTTTTAAAGTTTTTAATTTCAAATGTATTAATTTTTATGAATTTTTTTTTTCCAAAAGTTGTAGCTATAAATTCTCTTTTAGAGATTTTAAAACTAAAGTTGAAAAACAAAGGAGAGTGGCATTGTGCCATTAAAAGTAAAGTGATGTAAAAAGTAAGAATATAGACTTTATCATATTTTAACAAGGCAAGGCTAGATTTAGTCCATTGGTCTAGATCTGGAGCCCAATACTGATTTATGGGCTTTTGGACCTTAACAATTACACAACTTTTTAAGACAAAATAAAATAAAATCGCTATTGACCAATATGGTCATTATTGTCCTTTTTTCCTATGAAATGCTTTAGTCAATTTCCGATGCCATGAGCATTTAAGGTTTTTAAAAAAGTCACACTTTTTAAGTTTTGGTGACTTTTTTATTGTTAATTTAACCTATAAATACTAAACTTTATGACAAATATTATTTTTCATTTCAATTGCTTTTAACTTAATTTATAGTCCACATAATAATAATTTTTAATTCTTAATTTTATATATAAGTTACTGTTATAATATTTTAATAGTTATTAATAATTATATTAATTACAATAAACAATTATGAGACAATCTTATGTTCACTGCATTATAAAGTTTTCGTACATGCATTCAATTACAAACTATTATGTATAATAAATAATATTATGTATCAAGAGATGTAAACTAGTTCATTGAAAGACCTTGATGAATAATTTTGTACCCAAAAACATAAAAGTACCAAATGATAACTAGTGAGTTAAACTTAGTCAATCCTTGAACAAAAAGAATCTGCAAAGTTTCTAAACACAAGCCTTCTCATTATACTACGTATATGCATCCATGCAAGTGGCATTAATTTGTGGTACAAAGAAGAAAAAAAAGAGATTTGTGCTTCACAAATAATGTCACATTTAACATTTTGTAAAATCTTCATTAGTGATTTGTGTTGGAAATAATTCAAAATATAAGTTTAAGTCTCACATCACCACCGTCTGAGAAAAAAGACTCATAAATCCAATGTCTTGAGATTTTGCATTAAAAGCGGTGTGAATTACTTACGTGAGTTGCTGATAGTTTTTTCATATAGAGGTGTCGTTAGGGGAGATTATATATATATATATATATATATATATATATATATAACTTCAGTCTAAATTCCACTTTTAACATAAAACCTTAAGGCAATGAGTGATTCATCTTATATAGTGTTTAACTTTTTCTGTTTTATCCAATGTGAAATTTTGAGTCAGATGAATTATTTCCAACAGGACTAATGTCAAATATATGTGTTATCTCCCCTAATGAACCTCCTTGAAAAAACAGAAAAAAAACCTATGAATTTGGTTAACCAAGTCTGTCTTTTTTGTACTAATTGCACTATACAAATCGGTGAAACCGTGTCATTGCCATGCAGCCAAAATGAATGGAATTCTGGAGTGACAGCAGGACTAACTACAAAGAACTGCTATGGTGAAACTGCTCCAATTATGAGCACCGGCACTACATATCCTGGTGTATACCCTGAACAGATGAGGGTTGTAGACATGGTAATTAGAGAAATGAGCAACCCTGCATATCTTCTTGACATTACAATGCTATCAGCATTCAGAAAAGATGCACATCCCTCCATTTACAGTGGTGATTTGAACCCTCAACAGAGAGCCAAACCTGACTATTCTGCAGATTGTAGCCACTGGTGTCTTCCTGGACTGCCAGATACTTGGAATGAACTTTTCTACACTGCTTTGTTCTATTAAGTTTTGTTCTTTGCTAACTAATTAACACATTTCTTCCACTTCATTGTTGTTATGAGTATCAATAGGTGATAATGCATTTATTAAGAGGGTTAGATAGTTACATAATAGCAGCAACTCAACTCTGTCATGTGTAAAGGATATGCTAATGAAATGAAAGAATTATTTATTTATTTTCAAAATCTTAGGAAGAAGGGATAATCTGTAGATCAAAGTAAGAAAAATTTAGTGTATCAAATGTAACCTATCACACTTACCAAGATCTTGATCCGAATAAGTCATATTAACTACTACATTTCTTAAAGATATATTTCACATTCATGGTTTGTGTTCAGTTATTTTTTAATTATGTAATTTACAGTTCATAACGTTTAATTTCAGCATATTAAAATATTGAGTCCTAAGATCTTTTGCGATTAATATATTATTTATGGGATTAATAAATATAAATATTTTATTTATAATCAAAGATATAAACTTGGCAGAAATTGGTTATGCATTCATGTACGTGGTATTTCATATTTTAGGACTAGTTTTTCTTTGAAAACAAAAGTAAAAATAATATGCATACTAAGGTATGGTGATCATTTTATAACAATTTTTACTTTCATTTTTCTTATTTATTAAAAACAAATTTAAAACTTTTTACTTATTTCTTTTTTATTTCACTCAATTCAAAAGAACTTGTTTTTTAATCCCTCTCTCATTTCTCCCTATTATCCAAACATAAATGATGACTAAAATTTCAAAAAGGAAAAAAAATCATTTTTAAGTTAAATTTTCAATTTTTTCTCCTTTTCTCTTTTTCTTTTAGAAATATCCTTTGATATACAAACAATATAAATCTACTCTCTCCATTTTATCTCCATTATTCTCCATACTTTTCCCACTCAATTTGCTCTCTCTTTCTCTTATCTGTATTGAAAGTATTGAAAATTTCACCTTAATCTCATTCCATTAGATGCAATCTTATATTGGATCATATCATTAACTTGAAGTTTTTTCCATTGAAATATCATTACCATGTCCGTGCAAAGGAGCAATAAAATCTCAATCTTTTTATTCCTATTGACATGTCATCACACTCACATGTCCGTGCTAAGGCCAACATATATTATGATTCAATTTTGGTGACAGATGGTGTTGAAACAGTGGGGTTTGCATTCAAATTTAACTGATACAAGAGAGCCAGGTAAACAACACTTAACAATTATGATAGTGTAAGGTGACAGATTGAAAGTAAACACAAGAAGTTGATAACAACACTTAACACCAGAAGATAAAGGAGAGCCTTTATCTATAATATGACATTGCCTGGATAAAATACAAAGCAGGCAAATTTTCATTAATGATGACTAGTATTTCTAATAGTCCTTTGCTATGGCTCATGCTTGTTCTAGATGGCAACTCCTAAGGTAGAAACTTCCATCTTGGGTATGATCTTCTCTGGTTCTACAGCTTTCACCTGGTTCCCATAAGCTGATGAATGCACTCCTAGTGCTGCTCTACCAGATGGATCAAGGTTGTTGGACCATGCAGCATCCCACTCAACAGCTTTTGCTGTGCTACATGCAACACTTGGTCCTCCAGGAACAGTGAGCCTAGCTGAGTTCTGCAAAATCAAATTAAGGAACACATGGATTTAGATCAGCATGGATTTTTCAATGTCTTGGTAGCTTTGATTCAATTTACCTGAGAGAAGAACCTCTCAAATATCATTCTATAGTAGTATGCTTCTTTGGTGGTTGGAGTGTTGAATGGGAAAATGTTAGCAGCATTGAGCATCATTCTATCAGTTACCTTTACGAAAATTTGAAGAACCAATAATTAGTTAGCAATATCAAATGTTATGATAATAAGAGAAAAAGAGTTTTCTTCAAGTTGTACATGTTTCTCAGCGTGAGCTTTAAGACCATCAATCCAACCATAGCCAACTCCATCACTGAATTGTTCTTTCTGCCTATATAAAATATGCTGCATAAAATGAAACTCTATCATGTTAGTTCAACAAAATGAATTCTGTAACGTTGTAAAACTTTGCTGCAAATGAGATTACCTTTGGCAGATAAGGATGCTCTTCATCATCAAATGCCCTCCTCAGTACCCATTTCTCAATTCTCCCTTCTTCTTTTTTTATCTGAAAATATTAAGTAGTAAACCACTTAATTAAGTGTAACATTTTTTAAGTGATGGTGTATTGCAACTTTCTCAGCAGTTACCATTTTGTACTCAGGATCAATGTTCATTGCAACTTTGATAAACTCTTTGTCCAAAAATGGTACTCTGGCTTCTAGACCCCATGCAAAGGTCGATTTATTGGCTCGCAAGCAATCATATTGGTGGAGTGCTTTAATCTGCATTAAATAGAAAAAGTATCATCTATTAGCCCTTTTACTTCAAAAGTCCAGCCAATTAAATTGATCAGGCAATAAGTATGATAACCCTGTAACCTTGCGGCACGTTTCTTGGTGAAACTCTTCTTTGTTGGGTGCCTTGTGGAAATATAGATAACCTCCAAAGATCTCGTCAGATCCTTCTCCAGAGATAACCCACTTGACTCCTAGTGACTTAATCTTACGAGACATAAGAAACATGGGAATGCTGGCTCTAATTGTCGTTACATCATATGTTTCAATGTGGTAAATCACATCTTCAATGGCATCTATGCCATCCTGCAATTACCATACATAAAGTATTCATTAATTATGATTTTGTACATCAAAATGCCCCCAAATTTTGAGCAGTAAACTACTATCTCATGTATATATACCTGAACAGTGTAGTGAAATTCATGATGGACAGTTCCTATGTAATCTGCTACTTCTTTTGCAGCCTTTAGATCTGGTGCACCCTACTCAGCATAATATAATTAAAGATTAAGACAAACTTCATGGTTTCTTTCTTTTATTGAAGAAAGCTACAACACTTGCAAGAATAGGTACACACGCACCTCAAGTCCTACACAGAAAGAGTGTAACTTTGTTCCCCATTGCTTGGCAGCATTTGTGCCTTCCAGGTAGCGAGCCGTGACAGCTGCAACCAATGAAGAGTCCAAACCTCCAGAGAGTAAAACACCAAAAGGAACATCAGTCATCAACCTTTTGATCACAGCCTGCAAATAACATTCAATGTTTCTATGAAAATGCTGTGTTTGGATAAACAACTTAATCAACTACATGTTTAAATAAAAGCTTATCACCTGAAAGCATATTTGATAAGCTTCTAGATGAAGCTTATTGAAATAAACTAAAAATAGTTTACACGAAGGCTTTTCCAAAGCTAACCAAGTTGGTGGCTTTTGGATAAACTTTCAATTACAATGATGTGTTGAGTCTTCTGTGTATCTTACCTTCTCAAAGGCATGCCTCAAAGCTAGAGGGTCATAAGGGGCTGAAGGAATAGCCTCAGAGAACCATGGAGGATTGTACCATCTACGAAATTCTCTCTCTTTGCTAGAGTACAAGTGACCAGGTGGAAAAGACTCGAAATGTTCACAATCATCATTTAGCCCTTTCAATTCTGATGAAATCCAGACAGAGCCTGAACAAAAGTATGCAAATTAGTCACTATTATTCAATCCAAATCTGCTGGTTGATTTCAAATAGAACACACAAATTCAATTCAAAAGCAGGGCACATATTTTATCATTACCATCTAGACCCCAACCAATGTATAAGGAAGTGACTCCAATTGCATCTCGTGCCACTATAAAACTGTTGTCACGGGTATCCAACAGAACAAATGAAAATATACCATCAAGCATGTCCACAAAGTTTTCTCCGTGCTCCTCGTACTAAAACAACACCAACAACATACAGATGATAAGAACAAGAAATCCAATCATGAGTAGCCACAGAAATGAAAACTTCAAGAAGTGTTAACAAGAATTAATGAATAAAACAAAAAAGTTTATAAAGTTTCTGTTGGGTTTTATGCATACATGACCAGGTCAGAATTGTTGCAAAATTATACATAAAGATGACTAACCAGGTGAGCAATAACATCGCAGTCACTTCCTGTACGGAACGTGTGATTAGGTAATTGTTTCCTGAGCTCTTCATGATTGTAGATCTCTCCATTCACCTGGTTTTCAGTGGATGACATTTAACGTGAGTCATAATTCATCGCTGTTAAATTCGTAAGACTAATAAATAAATGTAACAAAAGCTATATGTTACTATGGTATACATTCCAGTTTTTTGTATTTCTATTTATGTATCATGAGTTTAATAGTCAAATTGTAAATCAGTGTAAATTAACAGAAGCTGTTGTTTAAATGATTTTGAAGACAATTATAGTTAAAGTCTAACAACACTATTTTTTTCATGGACATAATTCACACAAAGTACTTTAAAGCTCATAACTTCGGACTGATCTGTGTTTGCAGGACTCTACTTTCTTGTGTATTATTACCAATTTTCCATACCATGACAGTGTAAGTTCAAATAATTGAACAAAGGCTTACCGTAACAACAATAGTTTTGTCTTCATTGAAGAGAGGTTGATCACCAGAAGCTGGATCAACTATGGCTAACCGTTGATGAGCCAAATAGCAATCTCCATATTGGTGGAGCCCACTCCAGTCAGGACCACGGTGCTTCAATCTGTGACATCATCGAATGGCAAATTATTAACTACTTGTTCAAACTGCACTTTGAAAATTTCCTTTAGCACTTTCAGACAAATTAACTCCTATCCTATCCATTACTTTCCAACTTCTGTTCTTCTGTTGTACTTTCCCACCACAAAGTTACCAATAATTTCACAGCAAGGTGGACCCCACATGCCACTGGTTTATCCAAATAAGTTAATGATCTAACCAGAACACTTGTTTATTCTAGAATCCACTTAGCTTGTCAAAGTCCAAACATGTTTATCCTTAAATACTTGTTACATCTAAAAGGTTGGCATCATACTGCCCCCAATATTAAGTAATAACTATGATTTTAACACTTACATATGTTTTAGTCGTTCCCTTTAAAATATTGAATGAACTTGATAGTAGAAAATAACAAGCATAGAGGTTTACTTTATCATGATTTTTATCATATCATATAACTCTTTGCAAACACTTCTCTCTTGGTATTAACTAAAGATTAGTATCCAACAATTTTTTTCCCTAGAAGATACCTCCATGAAACTTAAAACAAGGAAACAAATTACAAGCACCACCTTTTTTTAT